CGGGCCCGGCCCCCCGTCCCCCCCCCGCCGGGGGGGCCGCTCGCCGGCCCCGAGGCGGGGCAGGGCTGTGGGCGCTGCCGGGGCCTCGCTCCCCGCTCTCGGGGGGGTCCGTGAGGGCGACCCCCCCGCCGCCCAGGGCAGGGGTCCCTCGCGCCCTCCGAGGGAGCCTCGGCCACGGGCGTCCTGCAGCGGGGGGGGCGGTGCGCGCGCCTCTTCCTAATTTTTAGCGCTCTTGGGTATTTCAGAACAGGCTCGGTGCAGCCCAGGTACCTGTTGGCAGTGGTCTCCCTGGAATTCGTTTGCGTGTGGTACTGAAGTACTTATTTTGAATAAACGTTTTCGTTCGGGTTGTGGCTGATCTGTTGCCAGCGTGCTTCTATTATGCCTCCCCTTTGCAACGATACAAATCCAAGGAATAACTGCTGTGTTATCCTGAGAGCGCGCGAGCCTGAAAGTTATCCCCAAGTCTGTGTCTCTGGTGCAAGGCCGCGTGAATGTTGTGGGTTGCCTTTCCTGGTTCTGAACCTTCTGTGGGGCATGCAGTCGCTAGAGGGGCTCACTTGAGGCTGCCTGAAGCCTCCTGGGAAACCTTGCAGGCTTTCCTGAGCTCCAGGCTTGATTTGTCTTTGGCCTGTTAGTTAGTACCCTTCCAAATTTGAAGGAATAATTGCAAGAACTCTTACATGAATGAGGAGGCACAGTTTTACTTACAGAAGTGAACTCAGGAAGCCTCGTTGCTGGAAGTTAGGTTCCAAAGTGCTTTCTGGAAACCAGAATCAAGTTGTGCGGAAGGTAGAGTTTGCTGAGAGTATGGAGTTGGTTCTCCCTCCCTGCCTCAAACGTTTGGAGGAAGAGTAATGAGTGCTGTTTGTTAGCCTTCTGTGCTGTAGATCTTCATGTCCTACAGTGTTAATTTGTATCCCAGAATTTATCTTGATTATACAGGAAAGGAGAATTCAATTTTGTATAACTTATGACAGCTCGTATTTGTACGCTTATGGGCTGAGATTCGGGGGAGAATGTGTTTAAACAAGATCAAACCATTTCTGGTGGAAAGCTCAGGGAAGACCAGACTGTTGTATCAGCTTCTCATTTCAGAGATCTACAAGTTCAGCCTTGGTTGGATAGTATCTTCTGGTTCAAGTTGATCCCAGCAGTAATCTGTGGATCCTAGCAGTGACTAGCAGGTTAGGTTCTGTACCCTGTAAATTAGAACACCTTGCATTTAGTGTTTCCTCAGGGCAGTGATGTATCTCTTTTTAGCAAAGCAGCCAGTATACTGTACGTTGCTCTGAATGTCTTGCTGATGACTTTCTGTATATTTCCAGAGCTATGGAGGACTTGGAAGATAATACCACTGTTTTCTCCACGCTGAGATCCCTCAACAACTTTATTTCACAGCGCATGGAGGGGGTGTCTGGGCTGGCTACACCAGGATCGTCGCAAAGCTCCTTACAGATTCAGTACCAGCAGAGGGTGCAGGTGAGGTGTCGTCAGCTTGTATCGCTTCAGTGTGGTTGTAGACTCCTTTTGATTCCAGGAGTCGGCATTGATTTCATTAAGATCTGACCGTTCTTTCAAAAATTGGTATTCGTGCAAGCTCAATAGCAGGAGCTTGCTTGTGGTGAACATTCTAGAATCTTTACGTTTTTTTTAAAGTTCAGACATATTTATTTCTGTTTTGTAGAAATTTAAGAAAGGTCCTTTGAATTTCTTCCCTTCTTGTTATATCTGTATACCAGCTCAGGAAATTAAATTTTAAGTTGTTTTCATATTGCTGAACAAAGGAGCTTTGAATCTGTTAATATTTTTTCCAGTAAGTCATTTGTAACCTTTTTTTACAATCTTCCTTAAATTTTCTTTGCCTGGACACATACAGGAGACCTGCATTGTGGTATGGCTTTGATGTGCTAACGAGTTGTGCTTTCTTGTCCGCTTCTGTTCGTATCCACATAGGGGTTTTTTTGACTTTTTCCTGTAAGCTGCCTTATGCTCATAAAGCACGGAGTCAGTTGACATCTTGGATCATACGTAGTGTTATTAGGCTGGAATAAAGTTTCTGTATTCTGTATCTTAATATAATTTCTATTTCAGTCTCTAAATATAAAAAATAAGCTTGCTTTCTTTTTAATGTAAATCTGCTTTGCATTTGGAATGTCAACAAAAATTTATGCATTTTCCATCTGTGGTACATCTCTGGTTACCGAGATGATTAGAGTGAGGCTCTCTCCGGTTAAAGAGTCTTCATTAGCTATGTGTTGAATGTACATTGCTTAGATGTGAGGTAGTCTATTAATATTGTCTGTGCTCTAAGGTAATTTGAATGAAAAAATGAAGTGTAATGTTGTAGCAGGTAGTAGAAAAACATGTTATTTTGCTCAGCAGTTAAATTTCATGGGGAGCATGATCTCTGCTTCTTGGTTAGCTGGTGTCACTTTTATGAGGTTTGAGGAGTTTGTAATTAACATTTTTTTAGACAGAGAAGTACATTTTGTCAGAGTACCTCTAAAGATTGAATGAGAAATTCTGAATGAAGAACTTGAAATTCACTTCTTTCCAACTAACATTGATTTGATGTGGGTTTCTGAGTGTGTTGTTGGACTCTTGGTTTCCCCATCTGCAGCTAGTGTGAGAAGACAAGTACCACAAACATTGTGATAGTTTCCTTGTAATTTGTAAAATGGCATGCAAGCGTCATCTGAATAGTACAGGGTGGGAGATAACGATACTGTTGCAGTGCTGTTAATGGTGTGTAATGTCCCTTTTCACACATGAACCGGCCAGTTGGAAGAACAAGCTGGGCAGATCCACTCCAAATCCCAGCTCCTGCAGGTGGAACGAGAGAAGATGCAGATGGAGCTTAGCCACAAACGAGCTCGCATTGAGCTAGAGAAGGCAGCTAATACCAATGCCAGAAACTATGAGGTAAGTATGACAGTTGCAGATGGCTTCATATCATAGGCCTAAGTCGGAACATAGGTGGTGCACCTGCGTTGGTGTTTTAGTTTGGGTCAGGGATATGCTCTTGAATTCTCACGTGCTGTGCTTTGGTCTGCAATGCAGTGTCTCAGAATGTGTATAGTGAACTTTTTTGGATGAAACTAAACTGAAAGATGCAGTCCAGGAGCAAGCCTAGTGTTCTCCAGCTGCTAATGGGCAGTCTGTCTTCAGAGCAAGACTTCAGCCAATCTGTAGTAAATGCTCCTGGAAGGCATTTACTGCATTTGCATTTACTGCAGATGTGGTGGTGGTGTGGGTGCCAAGTTCCCAGCACCAACTGTTTTGCTCTACAGATCCCCTCGCAGTGCATTGCACTAACTTGCTAATGTACACAAGAGTGTGAACGTCAAAGCCTTGTTTGGTTGACAAACTGATGTTCTCATCACTAGATT